ATTTTTGGAAAAAAAAAATCATGTCACCTAGGGCAACGCTGCCTGAGGAGGCTGAGCTGATGACACAGCACACCTGAGGAGACTGCAATGCAGTTGTTAAATTCCCAGTGATTCTGCATCTCCAGGGAGGATCTGGCTGCCACGTTATCTTGTTACCTATATTGGAGGAGTTATCATTTTATTACAAATGAGTTTTCACCTATTCATCTTTCGTGTTACAGTTGGTGAAATAAAATGGCCTTTTATTGTTGTACACATAGGTGGGTTACATTATCTCAGAATTCCATTTCAGAATAATAACTGTTACTGGAGTTTGAGTGGACTGCAGGGTGACGACTTTTGGTCCTTCAGTATAATGCCTAAGATTAGACAATCTGTGCAGGATAAGAGCAGAAGCACAGCAAGGCAGAGATAGGAATTACAGTAAGCCAGGAAGAGGTGAGAGGAAAAGAGGTACAGCTCAGAAAGGAGTGGGCAGAGAGAGGTTAGGGACCCAAATGTGCCAGAATGATGAGGCGTGGGGCTTTTGTTAGGTTAGGGGGTGGGAATTTCCAGTGGTGCAAAACCTCAGAGGGACAGGTAGCCTGCCTACTTGGAAATAGCACTGTGTGAAAATTGAGGACATGTGCCTATGCACTTAGGTCACTTTGCCCTTTCTGGCCTAGCGCCACTGGCAGAAAGTCAAATAATAGTCCACTAACCCTCTGAGCTACTGCAGGTCCTTCATGATACGGGCCTATGAACCTACAGAGAAAAGTGATGGCCCCTTTGGTGGAATGCTGGGGAATCTGGTATTGACATTTGGTAGCTCTGAGTAGACTGCCCACCTTCCTAAGATGGATTTCTTCCATAGCCCCAGCCACTCAAGGGGAGGGAGGAATGCATGTCCTCACTTGGTGGTATGTTGGGTATTGACTCTCCTGGGTCAACTAGAGGCCAGGAGCCCTTTGACAGCTACTCCCTCTTGCCTCTCCCTTCTCCCTTGCCTTCTTATCTCTATGCCAACACAACCACAGAATTATATACATTAAATAAAAATTACAGGAGGTCATTCTTTTTTTTTTTTTAATGTGGGTGCTGGGGATTGAACCCAATGTTTCACTTGTGCTAGGCAAGCACTCTACCATGGAGCCCCAACCCCAGCCCCAGGAGGTCATTCTTTTAAACTCCCAACAGACTAAAAATCAAAATGGAGTCACTCGTGCCAAAGTTGTCACCGAGATGAAACTAAACTGTTTAGAGAAATCAGCATTAAAGACACAAATTTCCCAAACAGGCTAGTTCAATTAGCATGGTAATGAAATACTTTCTGTCTCCATCTTTACACAAAAAAGGTAACCCAGCTGGGTTACCTGTGCAGGCCCAGACCTATAATCCCAGAAGCTGAGGTAAGAGGATCACAAATTTATAAATTTGCGAGTTTGAGGTCAGCCTGGGCCCTTTACTGATACCCTGTCTCGAAATTTTAAAATAAATAAATAAATAAATAAAAAGGGCTGGGAATGTAACTCAGTGGTTAAGTACCCCAGGGTTCAATCCCCAGTACTAAAAAAA